GACTTAATCCATTTGATGGAATAGAATTACTGCGGTTCAGTTCAGAAGTTGCTCAAATGAACCAGTTAAATTCCTCTTTAAGTTAATGGTGCAGAGAAAGCCTTGCTTCTGTCATGACTCTAGCTCATTATATTGGATGGTCATTATTAAAAAGCAAAAGTAGCAATAAAAGGTGACATTAAACAAATCACACTAAAGAACAAATATAGTTGATTCCTTATGAACAGTACCTTGCTATAATGTTTCTGAAGAATGGGGATAACCCCTGCTTTAGAGTTACTGATATGGATATCAGATCTGGGAGACAAAAATCTGAACAACCTCTAGAGGGTGGCAAATGTTGTGGGTGTCTGTATTTCTTTGCTGCTGTTTAATGGTTGTCTGTATCTCTGCAGCTCAGATCTAGTAGTCCTAGATAGTTGGGATCTTTGGAATTTTGAGGACCTGTCATATATATTCTCACAAAATAAATGCATGGGTCTTAGCTAATGCAGTGGGCAAACACAATTACAAAACTTCCACTTAGTTAAGCCAAGCTGGTCAGCTCACTCCTTGCCACATCCTTAAGCCTAATAGGATGGTCCTTTATCACCTAGCTCAACTTTGCCTATTTCTTGGTAAAGGATTATTCTTTTTAAGAAACACAAGATTACAGTGTCCCTTTTGGGGATCAGAAATATTTAAGTAAACAAACTGAAGTAGAGGTTGTAGCTTTGCTTTGCAACAAGGCGGGTTTTTTTCCATTTCATTGTTTATGAAAACATTGTTTATGACAACCAGGTCATGGTTGTCCCAAAGGTGCTTTTTCTTGTTTGATTTTTTTTTTCTTTGAAAACATTTCACTTCTTTGAAGAAGAACTGAAGCTTCTTGGATGAAAAGCAAAGCGTTTTTCAAAGTAAAAAAAAAAAAAAAAACAACCAAGAATGTTCAATTGCCTTTTGGAAAAAGCACCTTTGGAATTCCCACTTCATTCTTAATTTGGGAGCTAAGGGCAGAGGAAGCTTGGCAGATATACTCCTGCAATTTGACACGTTGTCTATATTGGGTTTGGTTAAGACAGCTTTTTCTTAATCTTATGAGGAACAAATCTTAATACAGAGGTCCCCAACCTTTTGGGCACCAGAGATCAGTTCCGTGGAGAAAGGTTTTTTCACGGACCGGAGGGTGTGTGGTTTTTGTGTGCTGCCTGCATCTTGTGGATGGAGATTTGCTTGCTTGTGCGGCCCAGTTGCTGGCATGCCACGGCCCGGTACTGGTCCACAGACTGAGGGTTGGGGACCCCTGTCTTAATATTCTGATCTAATTCTTATTTAATCCATGATAGGCCTACCAAATTACATTCCTTTTTATTTTTTTTTTGCTTTTTTTAAAAGACTGCATTCTCATCCATAGCTTGGTGTCCTGCAGTTATGTCTAGATTTCAGAGGAACCCACTTCTTCAGGAATGTGAATGCCATGAAGAAGATTCCCGTGCAATAGGCATTTTCTCAGAAGTCAGTCCCATTGATTCCCCAAAATGCTTTGTTTCAAAAAAAAAAAATAATAATTTTAGAATTGCACTCAAAGACTATGGAGTGTTGGAAGTGTTGATGGCCATTGACCTCCATGGTTTAGTGCAGTGTTTCCCAAACTTGACAATTTTAAGGCATGTGGACTTCAACTCCCAGAATTCCACAGCCAGCGTTGCTGGCTGTGGAATTCTGGGAGTTGAAGTCCTCATGCCTTAAAATTGTCAAGTTTGGGAAACACTGGTTTAGTGCATCTAATTCTGATTAGGAGCAGGCTCTGGTTCTAGGCATCATCACTTGGGGAACATTCGTGATTAAAAATATAACTCTGTTCAAAAAGCATGGGATGACCTCGAGGCTACTTGCACAATGCATCTAAACGGGGCCAAAATGCATACTGCTTTGAGAGACAGTGTTTGCCTACAGGAATGCTTCTCCTTCAAAACTATTTTTAATGGCAGTATTTAGTTAGGTTTTTTTTTTTTAAGTGAGCTTGTTATATAAACCAAGGTTGGCAATATGTAGAAATAATGCATTCCCAATTCAACTTTTTTTTTTTATTGCCTGGAGAAATTGCACCAATACATGTGTACAAAGGTCCAGGGGGTTGTTGTTGTTTTACCGATTCCCAAAGAAATCCAAACCGAAAAAAAAGATCCTAGACCTTCCAAACCAAGAAGTAGCCTGGGTTTATTGAAAATACCCTGCATTTGACATTGAAATATTGTTTAACTTAACAGGTGGTGATAACCTCCCCATCAATCAGCAGAGTTTAGCTAACTTAAATAGAAAACACTACAGAAGCTTTTGGTTGTGAAGAAGGTTATATGGCAACACATGGTGGATTGGAAGACATACACATTCATATATGACATTTATGCAACTGAGCTCATTGACTGGGTATAAACTGGAGATACCAATCCTGTTCTGACCTCATTCTCTTTCTGATCCTATTGGTCCTAGTCCTGTCCTCTTCTAGGATGTACCTTATGGCTTCAGAATCCAAACAGTTAAATGGGCAGACAGTGCAATAGATTGTGATTAATGGGTCCAATTCAGATCTTCCTGTCTCTCCTATCTCCTTGCCTGTAAACATAGGAGGCAACCATAATGATTTTCCTGGGGTGAAAAATCAAAGAACATATACAGTGAGGCATTAATGACTTGGGCATCTTGTCACAGCATTGGCAGCCAAACCCCACCAAGAAACTGGGGGGAAACTTCAGGATGTAGTTGAGATTTTTAAGGGAGAAGACTCTTCCTCTTCTAGCTGGCCTCCTAACTTACTGGTGTTGCCTCTGCTGTGGTTTTGCTGGAAGGTCAAGTAACCAGAGTCTTCTCAATGTAGATACTCATGCAGGGCTTCATACATGCATCCTGAATTGCACTGAGAAGCTTCCTGGCAATTAATGCAGCTTGTGAAGCAGTGCTGTTACAACACCACACCAAAGCACACCCGTTGCTGTTCACTCCTCCCCAATTCTGGGTTAGCTGTAATTTCCAAGTGGTCTTCAAGTGCAGCTAGAACACACTGCAATAATCCATATGCCACATGACCAAAGCATGAGTAACTGTATACTATTATTGAAGACTGACCATTATTGAAGACTGAGTTGGAGGATGGGATCAGTCACCTTCAACCACTGACACTGCCTTTCTCTTGACCACTCCATCCTTGGATTTCCCTTATCACCATCTTGATGGAATTCCCTGTCCTTCTCACCCTATTCCAGCCTTATCCCATTCCTTGCCCTCCCCTTCCTAGCCAAGTGATCCACCCACACACATAATCCCTGCTCTTGGATACTCAACCACCCAGGAATGTTGCCATGTGGGCTGGGCATCCAACCACACAAACAGCCCCTACCCAAACACTAGCAAAGGGGTAGAGTTGCCACTTGTTGCACCTGTTATCACTTACTCCCCTTCCTCCAATCCCAAATCTAGAACTTTTAAGTCAGCCCACTGCATCAGACTGAGCCTTTACTCAAGCATCAAGCCAAAAAAGTGAGGCAAAGGCAAAAAATATAACCACTGTGTAATGAGGGCGTATAATGAGCTATATATGTCATACAGTTCTTTGATGAAAAGTTTATTCTGTTTTCTATCTTGCTTACTCTCAAGCCAACTGGCTTACAGGTTTACACAGGGAGGCTCCCAGATAGCCCAGCCTAGCTCATCGGTATGCTGGGTCCTCCCAGTCTTGCCTGAATTCTTCTCTCTAGTGCTTCCCTGCATCAATATTCTCAGATGAAAAGCAAAATCCTCTGTCCAGAAGGTACTACTCAGTGCTCCCTGAAGAGGCAGCTGCCACTCTCCAAAGGGCAGCTGAAGTTTCCAGGTCTGCAAAGGGACGGGATTTTGCCGACTCATTCAATTTGACCCAAACCTCCCTGCCAGTCTGCAGTTCAAACGACTCTCCCTGTTGGGAAAAAAAAAAAAAAAAAAACTCTGCGTTTTTCCTCCCCCCTCCATTCAACGCTCGCCCTTCTCCCCGCTGAGCAGACCAACCTGATTTGGCTCTCTCTCTGGTTGTCCTCTCCACTCTCTGACCAGCAAGCCTCTTGGGCTAACTCCTAGAATTGCTGGTGTGATTCCCTAGGCTTTCCCCCTACCACTCCCCCCCCAAAAAGGATCGGGGTGCCGGGTGGGATGCCAGTGGCTCATTCTGAAGTTTGCCTTCAGAAATCGTGGGCGCTCCATCACTGGAGGTTTTTAAGAAGAGACTGGGGAGTCACTTGTCTGAGATGGTATAGGCTCTCCTGCTTGAGCAGGGGGCTGGACTAGAAGACCTCCAAGGCCCCTTCCAGCTCTATTCTATTCTATTCTATTCTATTCTATTCTATTCTATTCTATTCTATTCTATTCATTCCGGGGGTCCAGACTTAGGTGGATGGGAGCAGGGTAGATTGACGCCCTTTCCCACGTAAGCCCTTCTTTTCCCTTCTCCTGGATGGTTACGCGGCGATTTCTCGGGTTTTCTTGGTGCCGCCTCTTCCCAAGTAATAGCTATGATTTATGGGGGACACACAAGCGGGGGCGGGGGGAGCAGGGAAGGAGAAGGGGGAGGAGGACGGACGGACGGACGGCGGAGGCAGCAGCAGCAGCAGCTCCCGTGATCAATCAGTAAAATTCGCCTCCTCTGGCATCGCTCGCCGCCGCTCTTCCTGACTGCCCCTCTTGCGTGATGTAAGATCAGACGCGCTCTGCATCGGGGAGTCGAGGCACACCAGCTGCTCCCGCTCACAGCCACCTCGGCAGCCGGCGGAGAGCAGGCGAGGCGGCCGGCGGACGGACGCAACCAGCGGGGGGCTCAGGGCTCCCCGAGCAGATTGTTCCGCCCCCCCCCCCTTCGCCAAACCCCTGCCGCTGCCCCCGCAAGGTGCTCGCCTCTGCGCGACTTCCCGGAGGGGCGCCGCCGAGTTCCGCCCCCCCCCCCCCACAGCCCGCACCCGGCGGACGCCCAGCGGCCGAGCGCCTCTCCGAGAGCCATGCCCGCCTTTCTCCTGTTCGCCTGCCGGGTCGCCCTCCTTTCGGGATTATTTCCGATCGCTCCGATCCTGGCGGTGGGAGCCGAGCCAGGTAAGACAGGCGTCTGGCTCGGAGGGTTTTTTTTTTGGGGGGGGGCGTCTCCGCTCCGGGTCCGACCGGGGTCTCCAGGTCCGAATTTTGATGGATTGATGGATTTGATTTATTTTTTGGCGAGGTCTCCAACTTAGGGCCAACTCTTTGCAAGCCCGCCCGCCCGCGGCGGAGAAGCGCTTGCGTCCGCTCGCTCGCTCGCTCGCTGGGCTGGCTTCGAAAGAAACCTCCGCTGGGCTGGCATCGGGTGGGGGAGAAGCCCGGTCCTGCTTTGCCCTGCGCTCTTCTTCCTCCTCCTCCTCCTCCTCCTCCTCCCGTCGAGTCAGCCAAGTCCGGTCCTCTCGCCGGCAGCGGCGCCGACTTCGCGGTGCCTCTGCAGAGGGGTAGCGTGGTGGCTTTGCGCTCGGCTCGCCTCCCTTCCCAAAAGCTCGGAGCTTTTGCAAACCTGCAACTTTGCTTTCTTTCCTTTTCGTTTACTTCTTCCTGTCTTCTCCCCCCCCCACACACACAGATACACATCTCCCCCCAAAAATTTAGTATAAGGGAACTGCCGGCCCCCAAGGTCTGTTTTGCCCCCTTCCTTACCTCGTTTCCAGGATTGGAGTTTTTTTCGGGGGGGGGGGGGACCCGAGCACGCCGCTCTGTGCTGCAAAAGTGACCGTGGGCTACAAACTTCGCTCGCTTCTTCTCGCTTTGCTAGGCTGACCAAGCCTTTCCAGAACCTGGCTGAAGGCTGAAGTCAAGCGAGGCTTGAGATGGGAACCGCACATGATATATTGTTATTTTTTTATTTTATTTTTCAGTCTCGGTCCTTAACAGCCTCGGTAATAAATGCTGCGGGACTTAAAACCACCATCTGTTGGCAATAAACCGCCTGTTATCCTAAACGCGAGAGAGGATCCTAAAGAATGAAGTAATCCCTAGGGATTTACTGTGAAATTTACTTCCTCATCAAGAGGGGAAGATTCTCAAGATTCCGCATCTTGAGGTGGACTCTCTTCTGGGTGGTGGTCCCTAGGCTTAGATTCCACCCGTGCTTACTTGGAAGTAAGTCTTATTGTCTTCTGTGGGAATTACTCTGAAGTAAGGGGCGCGTTTAGATCAAAGCGCAATCCTATGAATGTCTTTTCAAAAGTCATCACCTTTCGTGGCTTGGATAAGACTTATTCCCAGGTAAAAATGGTAAACCTAAGTGTACTTGAATGCTTTGGGCTGTTGCAAGCATCCAGATTTGTTTGGGGATGAATTTATTTGGGCTCAGTTTTTAATACAGGAAGTGGGGGGAGGAGAGAGACCCCAACCCGAATCCAAGATCAGGTGTGACCTTTTAAAGAATACTTATTGTGGAATAAGATGGTTAAAATCTTCAAATTGTAGTGAGATCCTGGTTAGTGCCACAAGAAAAAGAAAAGAAAAGAAAAGAAGCAAAATTTAATTGTATTCCTACAGCTCAGTGATTAAACAGAACAAGCTATACTAGGAAAACTTGAGCCTTCTGGAATCCTTTGATTAGAATGAGCTGTAGTGCTGCTACCAAGATGATGGGGCAAATTATCTCTAGATGCACTTCAGGCTGCAGGAAATCACTGAAAGTCTGCAGAATGAGACAGAATTGTGCTGTCAGAGCAATGCTAGGTAAACAGACTAAGGTCTTCCATCATATGCAAGCAATTCTGCATGGATATAACGTTATAGATTTATTATCAGGCAACAAATAGGCAGGAATGGTGTGAGCAAAATATCTCCCCAATATTATTGTCACTGATACACATGTGAAACTGTCCTATACTCGGGTTTAGTGAGAGTGCATGTTTTCAACAGTATAATTTTGCAGCCATTGACTCTTCACTGCTTTGAAAAGAGCTTCCAAAATAGGCTTTATCTGGCTTTAAAAAAAAATAAATAAATCTCACTCTTATCTATTGATATAAACTGTTGGGTGTTCAGGCAAAGCTACATTAAACTATCCAGCAACATTTTTTATTTAAAAAAAAAACAACCCACAAGATTTGCTTTTTTTTAAAAAAAAAAAGGCCCCTAGAATCCACACTTTAGGATGTTTGCAATATAAACATCTAGATATCTGCTCAGAAGCAACTTCCATTAAGTTCAATGGGCTTAACCCCCGGTAAGTAGACATCAGATTATAATCTTTGGCTGCCTTTTAGTACTTTCCTAAACATACAACCGTTCCTGTTGGTTGCATATTTAAGAGAATAACTTTCATTGATCCAGTAGGACATTCTGGGAAATTATTTGAAACTAAGTTTCATTAAAATGGCAGGAAAGGGATGTTGGGCAGGTCTATCTGAATTTTATTACCTGATCAACAAAGCAGTTTTCAGATGGATAACAGCCTCTCTCTCTCCCCCTACTTGATATCCGATAAACAGGCAAAAATATATGAGAAAAATATCTCTGTTGCAGCATGGTGTGTATCCCTGCATTTCGTATGCCAGAATTCCCACATGTTGCATGTCTACTCATTATGTTGCTTTTTAAAGCAACAGCCACTGTGGAAAAAGTCCATCACATGGACTCATGCAGATGTTCCTGCATAAACCACCACTTCTAAAAAGACAACATGTATTTCCATGTAAATATGCTCAAAATCCAGTGAAGTGTCCTACTTTTGGACCATGTCCTGCTATCTTCCAAATCTGAGTCACAAATCACTTAAAAATAAATGGAGGGTTAAAACTGTGGGCAGGGTATCAGCATATTGCCTATTTCACTAGTTTGTTGATCACTCTAATTCCTGACATCAATTGTTTTATTGTTCACTAAAGAAAGGTACTTGGCTTACCGTAAATGGGGGTTATCTTTCGGTGTTTTGTGTTATGTGCTTAAAATTTATTATCTAATTATCTAATTTATTAAAGAGAGATGAGTTAGATTTATTTGTTTCTTTGTTTATTGTAGCTCAAAACACACATCAAAGTAAGATATGTACTTTCTCCTTAATTGGTACTAAATTCAGAAAGGCTCAAATAGTATACCTTGTTTCAGATTAAATGTGAAGCAAAGCACAAGCTCGGATAGTTGTTCAAAGTGTGCAAACCTTCAAATAAGGACAAGAATGCAATAAATATTATGATCTATAGCTGACAAGAGGAAAAATATCTAAATTCTTATTGAACACATAGTTGTGTGGGAAATTACACTTGCATTGGGGAAACTTTCTATCTCTCCTTTTTTTTTTTGCTCTCTGCAAGCTTGATACTGTCTGTTTAAAACTAATTTGAAGAAATACAAATGGCTTTAGATATGCTGTTCAGGGCCCTTGTTTCTCCTGTAATTGAACTACTGAGCCTGTTAGATCAATTTCCCAGCTGATTATAAAAAATTAAATAGGTGTTGCATACTACAAGTGACAAGAACAAAAATCATTGCTTGGCAGAATCTCAAAAAATAAAAATAATGCTTTAGCCTTGGGAAAGATTTGCGTTGAGAAGGGTTTGAAAGAAGATAAAGGAAGGACTATGAAGTAAGTCCTTGAAAATCCTGGCTTCTTCGTTATCCATGTATGAAATTTCTTCCTTAGATACTTCATCCTGAGCCAATTTGGGTTCCTCAATGTGTTGTTCTTTTTAGCACGTATTCTAGAACTTTACAAACTTTGATCAAAACTGAATTCTTGCAATTACTGACACATTTTCTGTAGAAATGATATTTACAAAATGATCCCGAGAAACCAACCTGGCTGTCTCCACTTGGTATGGAGATTGGCAGGTACCAGTTTATTTAGAAAGGCAAAAATAAGGTTTTCTGATTTGGTTTGGTGTGCTTTTTTTTTTGCTCAGTTCCATGCCTTGTAACACTCTGGGATACAAATACTATGTCAATTTAAGTTTGAATCAATCCACTGTGAAAATGTAATGTCCTGTACGGTATATTCACCAAATCATATTCACCTAGAGTCAACCATCTCATCATATTGCTATGTATCAGAGAGAAGCTCAATGGAGTTTTTTTTAGAAAGACCTGGTGGTTGTCTTTAAATGTGTTGGATATTCCAAACTTTAAAGAAATGTATCAGAACACGGAAACTTTTAGGAAGAGACATTTTTCCATCAGATAAAATTGGGGATGGATCACTAAGATCACCCTAAAGGATGAGAAAGAACCTTCTAAATTACAGTTTAATGTAAAGTTTTCTGTTATAAGTTGCAGCATGCCTTTACAAAAACACAGCTGCACGTTGCATTTGAGAATGTCTTGTAGGTCATAATGGAAAAGCTTGGTGAAAGATAAACAAGAAGATTGGTAACATGGGAAAGACGATGAGAAAAACATCTACCAGAAGGTTACTTTTGTAATGTTGGATGCACAATTTACTTTCTTGACATGACTTCTTATGGAAAGCAACACGTTGTAAAATGCCAAGGGAATGATCATGATAGAGAGATGTAGGTATTGGCATTACCAAGGATAATACTAAAACTAACTTTCAGGAGGAATTGATCGAACCTCAGGATGGTGCCATTTTTTCAAATGACAACAGGTTCCCATTTGTACAAGAGTACAAATTAGCATAGATGACATAATGTCTAAACAAATTAAAGCAAACATTGTTCATACAAAGTTGATTTTTTTTTATAACAAGTCTTTTCTCAAAATATTTTCAGAAGGTCCTTTTGGACTATCAATAGCTGAGCAATGTCAACTTCCTTTAGCATTATATTTTGGAATGGCTCCTTGAGATCTAAATCCTGCCAGCCATGGGCGGTGATGTCATGGAATAGGCTTAGAAATAGAAGCTGCAAATTGGCTGTTTGTGCATTGCTAAGCTGTCCATATAATTTTACAGTTTTTGCAATTTTTTTGTGTGTAATTTCAATTGCAATGAAAGAAGCTTCCACACCTCAAGGCTTAATGGGCCAAACAAAGGGTCATACTTGCCCCTGGTGAGTGGAGAATGAAGCCTAGTGTAGCTTCAGATTTTCTGAAGCCTCCTTACATATAATCTTATTACAGATTCCAGATCCTCCCATTGTGCA